ATCTTCACAGTTTTAAAATTATACTTACTTACCTACGTGATATTATGCTACTGTAAATATATAAACAACACAAAACAGGTAAAACAATCTTACATACCTACACGTACAATACTAATATACCTATTATTACGAGTACATACAAACATTATTATGTATATTGACTGTTCGTGTGTGAAGTGTTTTATGCCGATAATTTTATCATAGATACAATGTTGCAACATGCAACTATAGCTATGCTATAATAACTAAACAATGTTAACTGTTTATGCAACTTTTTGTGCCAAATAATTATTTGAACGAGAATATTTTGAAAATAAAAAATATAGCAATGTGTTTGCTGTGTAAAGGTGCGTGCTTGAGCCGACAGCAAGTTTAGTGTCTGTTTGTGTTTGTGTCGCTAAAAAGATGATACGTGAAAATCTGTGAAAATCAGTCGGGTGTGCCCAGCAGACTAATGAAGTGTAGATAATTATGCAAATGTTACAGAGCATTAATTTATTCGATAACATGTGAATGAATAAATAAACTAATAAGACACATTGTTGATATTAAATAATTTTCCGTTCACGTTATTTACATTTTATTCTAACAGCCATACGTCGTGGACTTATCGACGGCTTTTAAAGACACTTCTTTTTAAATTACTGCAATTTTCATGGAAAAGGCTGTTCTTTTTTAATACTGCAATATTTTCGGCTCCCAAGCCATTATTTTATAACATAAACCGTTGCACCAAATGGATTTCCCAGGAATGCTGGCCATTTCTATAATAGGCCATTCATAACGTAGTGAGAAGTCTCTGAGACCGCAGACCGTTCCGCGGCCATTCCGCCGAGCAGGTTTTATGAACGGCATGAACCCATTATTCGCCCGCTGCTATATGCCCTGTTTTATCTCGAATATTGTAAAGTAGAAATATTTGTAAGACCTAAAATGTGAATGCTAATGTGGTTATGCAAAATAAACTATTGAGTATTGAGTATTTTATAAATTAATTCACGAAACTACACGAGACTAGCTGCCAAACGCTAACAAAGTTCGTGAATTCGGAGATTTGTTTATTTGTTTTCTCGTACATCGAATCTTAACAGGATCGATCGATAAAACTACTTACTTAACGAGTGAAAATGCATCATATGCATTGCATTTTGGTGTTAAAGGTTACTTAATCCATACTAAGTAGCCAAAAAGTAAAAATACTAACATGATAAATTAATTTCTCTATACTGAAGATGTAACAGTAAAACCCGTATCACGAAGGACTCGGGGTAAAGGCGATTGATGAGTCAGCAAAAAGTCGACTAAATGGATGGGTCACGAACTCACGATCCTGGGAAGGGATCAAGAGAGAGATACTAAAAGGTTAGGTACTAAATGAAATTACTAACATGATATGGGCCTAACTCAGGACATTTCATTTCGGAGACTTTTAAACGGACTGTACTTAATAGCTCTACAATATTAGTCAAGAATATAGTTCAACTTTTTTGTAGATTTTGTTATCAGTTTTAATTGCATTGACCCCCAATTAATTTGCTGCTAGTTATCAAATCAATTAATAATATCTTGGTTAGGCCACTCTATATTTAAGAGCTCTAGACATAAAATAGAATTAGAAACTATATCTTGAAGTTCGTCGATAGTCATAATAATAGCGGATAACTTTCACATTTTCATTATCAATTGTATTTTCCCTGATGCAAACCGCTAGTTATGACACGAATCAAAATACCTAATTTACAACTCCCAAGAAAGTGAATCATTTTATTATTGTTACGTGCACTATGCTTTCTTTCAAAACACAAACGTTCCTTGCTTCTACGATCACGTAAAACAGAAACAGTTTGTGTTCGTAACGTAAACAAATTCCTTTTATTTTGACATAGAGAACAGTTGCATTCATATTATAGCTTTTGGCAAGAATTTGAGCCCAAATTCTTTCTTGTTGGTTATTTCTGACGAAAGATATTCAGTAAATGCGCGTGTATGCACTTGAATTCACTTGATGAATGCGTGGGGGTGGACAAAATCAAACGATTGTGTAGAGGTATAGTGATCATGAGGATGGAGATATTATGTTATACGGCTAGATGTTTGTTTCCAGGCGGATGAGTCTAATGCTTGTATGCAAAATACTTGTTACACTGTTTAAATACTAATTCTCGCACTGCACTCTATCAATAAAATGTAGGTCCAAAAGGATGTCTAGCTAGATATTGCTTTCAATGGAAGATACAACAACCTAATTCAACTGACTGCTAGCTATCAAATTACTCGTATTAAGTATTTAACTACTTATTTCTTCATTGTCCATTGAAGTCTAACCACAGACCTATTTCACGCCGGTATTTTACCTATTTTCAGACATTCCCTACTCTAAATTCTTCAATAAAATAAACGACGTCTTGATTAGAATGTAACTACATAATTATGTTAATTTTATATTTTCTTTGTGTTCTTCTCATGTGAGATACTGTTTAATTATATGGTTTGCCGGAACATTATTCCATCCATATCATGTAATTACATTAACTACAATAAATATTTATCAAGTTCCTTTGCAATAAGTGAGCGTGTTATGTACCTATAAGAAATAATTTTATTACATTGAAGTGTTTGCATATTAATGATATCAACTTGACAAACAACACGCTACTAAACGATTGTACTGTTTACAAATATGATAGTTAACGCTGTCATGACTAATAAGTATTTTCCCTTAACGCGGTGCATCGTGCGACCATGCCCTTCAAACCTATAACTGACGCTCTAATAGTCTCTAAACGTCACCCTACAAGCTTAAGGCTGACTCACACTAGAGTGAGTAATCCCATTTTCAGAGGATGAAAACGCTTCCGTGTACTACTGTGCTTAGCTCTCTAGACAATTTGATAAGTACTTAGTAGTTTATCGAATAATTTTTCTAATCGTTGATAAAAATCCATAGATTAATATCTATAGGCACTAAAGAAATATATTCAAAACTGCCACAGACAGTGGTGACTGAGTTTGTTGCGGCGCTTCTTCTCAGCACTTGCCAAATGTTTGTCTCGAAGCGCTGGTAGGGCAAAAAAAGAATGAGACATGTATAGGCTCCTTAAGAGCATTTGACGATTTGCAAGTACTAATTTAATTAGTCTAAACAAATAAAGAAAATTTTGATTTGATTTGATTTGATACGGTTTTATAGAGTCGAAATCGTAATAATTGTTTACATTTGTAGTGGTACTGAATCTTTTTGTTACATAATATTTTGCGACTGTTTTCAATTCGTCTCTTTTTTGTGAACTTATTATACGAAATCGAATCTGTCACGACACGAATCTTAGGCGTACTGGTTATGCTCTCTAGAAACTGAGGTCCGGAGGTCGCCAACGAAACCACTTTGTGTAATTGTTCCCAATTTGGTTAAGTCATTGCAAACTAGAATTAATCTGATTGTTCGATAAGGAGTAATGATTCAGTGCACATGGGCGCATGTTTATTTAGATTGCTTGAACCATGTCAGATGCTAATATTTATTTTGCTTATAAAGTCTTTCTGTCATCAGGCTATGATATCAGTTGGGACAGCCAGCCCGCACGATAGTATTATGTCAAAAACAATTTGGTTACTTGATATTCTGTTAATCCAACCAAGTGTAAAAGCAATATCTAGCGTCCAGTAATCAATTAAGAACAATGAAAGTTTTAGTTTTACTTTTGATGGAACTAATCGATCAATAAACGAGACGATGACACGGTTTATTTAATTCGAACTCTTGACCTGTAAATGCTTTGGACGCTTATTAACCGTTAATGAATATCGAATTAATTAAAAACTCCATTGTCATGATAATATTCGGAGATAAAATATCAATTTACAATTAATTTACTTACCACATTGCGGTTAATACGGTTACTGTTACGGTGAAATTAAAATTCAATTGTTTAAAACTGCGCTAATAATTGGTATTGTATGTTTTGATAACAGTCGTTTACGACATTTATTACTTTTCGTTTTCCAATTATTTTACATCACAAATACTTGCGACGTTTATCTTTTCAGCAGTACCTAATCTTCTTGTTACATATGATAATGTTATGTTTGATGATGTACTTAATTGATTCACTATTATTATTAAATGAAATGTGTAATTTGCGAACTACTTAATTAGATCATATTATTATTATTATTGTGAGTAATCATTGGTATTTAGTATAATTACATTATTTTCAAGGCACATAGACATCCCCTAGAAATTACCCATGCATGAGTTTGGAATTTTGGATACATTTAGATTCCTCCAAAATACTTTGGACTTAATGTATGGTAGTTATTAATTTAAAACAGTAGACAGCGTAAAAACTACCGATTGCTAACGTCACCTCCTATTTTTACTTGCCTTAAATTGGGGGCGGACTGATTACGCGCTATTGACTGGGTCAAGTGCAAGGCACGCAACTGTATCGAATCAGCTTGGAGACAACTGAAAAACTCCTCAGAGGCATAAGCATAATAATTATTACTATGCTATTTACCCTACATTAGCTAAGTGCCTTATAAATTCCGAACTGTCCAATAGGAGCAATCAATCAATCTCTTTCAGGAATGTGTATGTTAATTCCTAAAGCTCATGTTTAATAACATTAAACCACTCTTTTCATGAATATTCGACAAGCAGCCATTGGCCGTGAAAAATATGTCGAAACATTTTTTATTTTATTTCAAAGCTTGCCATATTTGCGGACATGAATTTGCTCATAATAACGAACAACTTTTACTATGGTATGATTAACTTGTTCGAAAAAAAGACTAAATATTCGCTCTAGGTTATTTATTAATGGAAAGATAAAACCTGTTGGTTTAATTGTGCTGCAAGTTACTAGTACTGATATGGGAACATTCGGTCGTTTATGACCAGGATGTAAATCAAGTCTGCATTGGTGCAATTCGTTCACGTTGTTTTTGTTTTCCATCTACGAGCTCCATTCCACATGTGTTGTTGTTTGTTGCAGTGCTAGACCAGGGCGACTCGCGGCCGTCCAAGTCGAGCGCGGAGCAACAGCAGAGCAAACAGCAGACTACCGTCGAGTTCATAGCGGAAGACGAGGAGGTTCGTACTAACTGCCACACTTCATACTGATGACTGCGCTACGTGACGCGAACTGCGATCCTGCATGTGTTAGCTAGGGAAAGCGAAAGCATGTAGGCAGGACCTGAACCTTATCGCAAATATACGTGGTCTTATCCACTTTAGGTTTATTACATCTTAATGAATTTGCCTGTTTTTGCTACAGTGCAGCAGGGTCTCTACCAACCACTGCTATAGGTACTGAATTTCGAACTACAATCCAGTTAGTTTCCAACGGAACTACTCAAACGAGTTTTTGTTTTGCAGAGCTATCTTGGATATACAGGAGTTGAAATCAGAAATTCCTTTCTGAGGTAGTACTAAATATGGGGGAGGTGTCCTCCATACACCATAAGAACTCGGTGTAGACTTGATATCACCAAATATAGTCACGTCCCAAACTTATAATGACCTTCCAATGGGGATCTCACGAATTTCTCTTGCCAAGATAATACATCAAAAAGGATAACGAATCGATTCCGACCAGGGTTTCGATAATCGTGTTCATGTGACCTTGGTACAGCGCCGCGAAGTCTTGACAAACAAATATCATTGTGTAAGCGGCTCTACAAGGCTGCCTTGGCGAACGCTGGCTGGTCACGTCGCGGATGCCTTAATCCGCATGCCTCGGGCGCGCCACTAAAGAAGAAAAAAAACACTTTCTATCACAGAAGTAGATGCTAGTCGCATGCAAATTATAGTGTATCTATTGCGATAGTTACGAAACTGCTAATAAAACAAAGGTTTTACTCGTAACTTGGTAACAGCTACAAGTGCCTTTACGACGTTCTGGTGTAATATTGCCTTTAATTAAGGGAAATTATTGTATTATTATGCGTGTCACATCGTAACGTAAATCTGTCCGTTATATTGCGGCGATAAGTATACATAAGCTATGTAAACGGAATTTATACGAACTTTCTGTCATAATAACTTATGGATTTATGAAACGTCGTTTTGTATTTGTAAATTTAAATTTAAATTTAAAATTAAAAGTAAGATTGTATTTTTGTTTAATAAGATTCCTTTGCCAGCTTCTTTGTTTCCAGAAAGTCGCGGTAGTAAACTTTAGCTGCGTCATTATTTGGCATTAAGTTAAAAGTTACACAATTTGGAGAACCGATTGCCTAAATGTGACGCTCACTTTTATGCTCACATAATGAGCACACTCGAAAGCTTTGATGTAAAATTTATCATGTTATTATTACACGAACACACACATACGTTATAGTTCGAGTACAGCTCGAACTTTGGAGTTAACAACGATAAAATTGTTCCCTGGGTAGAGTAGCAACAAGTAAGAGAATGTAGATAACGATAGTCACCTCGACTTTGTAGAACTAGATTTTTCTTTTTAGAATACCTGCTTGTAAAAGGTTGGCCATTAATGTTTTAAAAAAAGTCAAAGTAACCATAGTTTATTGTAATAATGTATAGGCAAAACAAAGATAGTGGCGTTAGCTCACGAGTGTCGTGAGATATGCAGGTGTACGTGCAGTGCACGTGCCCGATCCGTAGGTGTATAACACTCAACACGGTTTTCCTTATTGCGGTGCCTCGTTGGTAAACGTATGGCCAGATATTTGATATTAACTAGCGTCAAACAACTCCATCCACTTGACAGTGTTGAGAAACCGACTTATTTGAACTTATTAGCGGAGTGTGATCTCATCTACGCAAGTTTGAGATCCACCATGATATTGTTTCGTCATTGAAAAACGTTATGGGATTGTTTCTTTATTCTGCATAAGGTATGCTATGGGATGTATTTTAGGAGGCAATCTTTATCGTACCAGAAAAAAAATACACCAAGTTAAACAACGATGCACTTTTTGTGGTTGTATAGCGCTATCGCGAACAAAAATATCGTCAGATATCTATCGATATCTCCAACCCGCCTGCCAAGCGTGGAGATTATGGCAAAACCCTCCACTTTAGTGGAGGAGGCTCATAGTCCAGCAGTGGACTGTAAAGGGCTGTTGATGATGATGATGATCTATCGATTGTATAAATTGGAGGATTGTATAAGCTTGCTCTCGTAGTCAGTTTCATAACTAAAAATGACTGGCAAAATTCAGATCAAACAGTAAAAAACCCTGATAAACGTAGATAAAAATATAGACATATCTGGGATTCATTGTGCATTACTTTTATTGAACCACTTTATTGCAAATTGGTGTTATTAGTCCTTTAGCAATCGGACCACATTAGCTCCCATATCTTATCTCAGTGAGTCCACAAAACAGATCATACAGATAATACGAGTACCAGAGCTGTACATAGTTTTCAGTGGACTGGATTGGAAAACTAATATTCGTATTAATAAGCTAAGCGTGAACTACAAGGTTATTGATTAGATAAATAGGTTCAACTGTGACGTAAACCAATCCTACACCTATCACTGTGACTATGAGCTTCGATTTGTGGAATTTTTTTATTTCTCAAATAAAACTAGTAATTTCTGTTGCTGTTCAACTGTTATTTTCTAGTTATTTGCTATCTGTAAACCAAATAATCAACCGACGTAGAAAACCTCTCTTAATTAATGATGCATTAATATGACATTAAACTCGATAGTGCATACACATCAATGCACATCAAATGGAACACTGTGACATCTTATCTCGTTGTAATAACTGCGATTTTGCAACAAACATATTATAATCTGATGTGCTGGACTGTAACCACCACATAATATGTTATTGATGAAAACCGCACCGCTCTGTATTGCGTCAATAATAATTTTACCTGTTTCGTTTCAATGATTTTATTTTTAAAATACTCGTATAATTCCACAAACAATATAAATTACTTTATACATATTTCGTAATTTCATAAACAATATAAATTTATATGTGGTGGTATAAAGCTAACAGATAAAATCACTAAAAGTAATTACTTTTAGTGATTTTATCTGTTAGCTTTTTTGTTTGCTGGCCTAAATAAGTACTAGGTAAAACCTAATATTATGTTGTTTTTCTTATTGCCTATTTTTAGAAAAGGCTGACTACGTAACTTCTCTAACCAGTGTTTTATGTAAGGAAAACAAAAAGTAGGTACCTAAGCTTAGTCCTCATTAAAGTGGGAACTACAGTTTTATGTAATTGTTAATCATAGGTAAATGTTCTTATTCTGCATAAGTACCTATAAAGTTCATGATCATATATGACGCCATTAAAATGATCGGGTTTCCCATGAGCATCATACATTACTTGCGAGTTATGGTTATGTCGTCAACCTTATTTTGGTTAATTTTAAACGCATACGTGTTGCTTACCTCTACCAGTACTCGAATGATGCAGTTTGTTATTAATTTGCCATATAGTCGCGCTACATTGTTAGGGACAGCGACAGTACGTTAGACTATAGATTTTTGATCCAAAATAGCATCTATTTCAACTGAATAAGATGCCACAATAATTACCTTGACATGCCGTGGTCTCTACAAATCACAGTGACACAGATAGAGCTCGTACGCTCGATATCTCAGACCTGCCTAATTGCCTGTTCTGTTGTTCGGCCATGCTCTATGTCGGATATCCTGTTAAATAATTACAGGCTTAGCCGCTCCTCAGCTGTTTGTCCATACTTTTGAATTAAATTAATATCATCCAAGTATACATAAATATCATAAATGATATGCGAAAGTTACTCTATCGTTCTGTTATCAATATGTCTAAACCTCTGAATAAAATTAAATGTAATGATTTTATAGGCAATCCAAAAATTATCTAGTTGCATAAATTCAAAGGAGAGTTCGTCGTCTTCCAGTTAGAGATAAAGGCGATATGTGCGAAACAGACTTTCGGTGACAGATCTAATCTCACGCGAGAATAGTCGCGTGCTGAAGCTTGTATTAACCCCCTTACTAATAAAACTTATACGCTCGTTGAACAGTGTTTTAAAGTGACGTTTAGTATGGAAATGAAAAACTTTTTATTAGTAAGGGGGCAAGTCTCCAACAGCCGTATAAATAAAATCTAATAACAGAAATAATGATTCTGTTGTGATTAAATGAAAATTGTATTACTTTCACGTGACCAATTTAATATTCATCAAGTCATCATCTGGTTTTTAGGGTGTTTTTCCTCCAAAAAGTCCAAAACAACTTATCAATTTATTAGTCCAGCTGTTTTTTACATAAACTGGACTGGAGTTAATATTTTTTATCACCGCTGGCACTTTGCATTTTTTTACTTTTAGACCATAATATTTAAATTATTAATGAATACTAATTACAATGCAACGGAATACATTTCAATATATTAACTTTGCTCATTTTTAATGCAGGAAAAGACCACTGAAGAGAGTTGTCCGTGTGTGGACACGACATGATTTTGCGATGTGGTCCAGAAAGTTGATACGTTACATGTCGCCCATTCTGTTCTACTCTAGAACCTGTTTCATAAGTTAGTTGTTTGAGGTGACTTGTAATTTGTTCCTCGACTCTGGCTTATACTTGGTAACACTTAGCTACTAGGTATTCTAGCATTCTGGGGCGTAGTTATGAATTCTGGAGCTTTGCAAGACTTTGAAAGTGTCATTATCATCAAAATGCATGGCGAGGTAAATGTCAAATGAGTTATCAATTACAAATGTATTTATTTTAGGAATTTAATGTTATTTATGATAAAGTTATGTATCGTACGAATGTCTCAAAATAACAAGCACACCAATTATTGTCTAGAAACTTCGAACACGCGTGGAATTTTCCTTCTTATTATAGAAAAAACTTCACCCTGGAATTCAGGCTTGAATAATAGAGTTCTTATTGGAATGGATGCGATATTATCAATATTGTTTTAGAATTTCTTTGTCTGATTCTTCGTATAGCAAATTAAAACGATACAGAGTTGGCGGCTGATGTTTATTAGAGTGGTTTTCATATTTCATTTAGTAAAAGATATCATAAACAACAATCTATCCATAAAACATCTTAAATATCAATGAATATTATTCTGATATACGTATAATTGAATGAA